TGTCAGATGTTTACTTATTGATCTTCTGGTCGAAACCTTTTTGTTGTTGTATTCTGTTTTAAAATATATAAAATTGTTTCTATCTCCAGAGGTTACCTAGGACCACCTCATCAGGGCCCACCCACCCACCATGTCCCTGGCCATGAGGGCCGGGGACCACCCCCACATGATATGAGGGGAGGGCCACTAGCTGAGCCCAGACCTCTAATGGCAGAGCCCAGAGGACCCATGCTAGATCAGAGGGGCCCACCCTTGGATGGCAGAGGTAAGGAGAGACTACGTCATAAGGCTAATTGGTGGTTGTGGGCTAATGCCAACCTGGCTGTCTTAGGCTCTAACTGGGATAAAGAATGCTGGGGCAGCCCCAGCCACAGTAGCACGTGCTATACACTGCTGCTTGGTAGAGTGAGGCCACATGAGAGGCCAAGATATGATTTTCAGCCTATCCTTTAATGAAAAAAAAATAAAGCCAGGTACATTGTCATATACCTATAATATCAGCTACTTAGGGAGGCTGAAGCAGGAGGATCACCACACAGCAAGACCCTATTTAAAACATCAGGTGCACACACACAAAGAATGTTGGGACAATAGGGTTTTGTTTTGTTTTGTTTTTCTGGCACGTGGCGGTCAGGGGGGTTGTAGAGCTTTCATCAGTGCAAGGCAGCAATTCCAGAGACGGTCATCACTCTGCCGGGGCAATAGGGTTGACAAGGGTCTTTTAATGTTTATCTGAAATCTGAGAAACTCGGGAAGACACAACAGTCTTATGTAGTTGAGTGGAGAGACGACTAGAGGAATAGATTTCTTTCTTGGATTATTGATTTTTCTTTGGAGTCTTTTTTTGTTGTTAGATTTTCTTACAGTACAGGTGAGTAGCTACACAGTGGTTTTCTTACAACTTTCTTTACAGGTGGAAGAGATCCCCGAGGAATAGATGCACGAGGGATGGAGGCCCGAGCCATGGAGGCAAGAGGATTAGATGCCAGAGGATTGGAGGCCCGTGCAATGGAAGCCCGCGCGATGGAGGCCCGCGCAATGGAGGCCCGTGCGATGGAGGCCCGTGCAATGGAGGCCCGCGCGATGGAGGCCAGAGGCATGGATACCAGAGGCCCAGTCCCTGGCCCTATGGGACCTATACCTAGTGGCATCCAGGGTCCCAGTCCAATTCCTATGGGGCCAGTTGGCCCCCAGGGATCCAGACCGGTATGTGTAATATTCACCTTCTACCATCTGTGCAAAATCTTGATCTATTCAGGAATTGATATTGAGCTTGGTTATTACTGCCTTCTGACGGACTTTCCTCAGCTTGTTAGAAAGGGAAGATTCTGGTGTTTTGTTTGTTTGTTTGTTTGTTTATCTGACCCTTTACGGTAAATATTTTCTGACCACTAGGATATAGTCGAAAAGAATAACCTTGTGTAACAGTTACCGTAGCTATTCCATTCAGAGTGGAGTCTAGGAGTAAAGAGAGTACTCTTCATTGGGAGTGCAAACCAACATCACATACAAGGCTTTTTCCACCAGTAGGTTAGAGCATATGAAGCTGTTAGTGGTCAGTTAGGTAATCGTAGATTTGCAGAAAACCTGTGTTAATTTACTATCTTCCTTAGCTTAAAGGAATAGTAGAGTGTAAAAGTTAGGCTGATTTACTAATGATCACCCTAAAAGCTACGCCATTGAAGTGCTGTCTCTTTTTTCTTAATTTTACTTTTTCCAGCTATATTTATATGGTAATCTTTAGCTGTCATCTCCTCCCACTTCATGCTTAGTTAGTTGTGGGGAGTTAGCGTGTGTGTATCTTCCTTACTTTTCATGTGCTGGCACCTTTGTTTCCCTCTAACTTCTTCACCTTTTACTTTATTCTTTCTTTGCATACTTCTCTCTTCCCTCTTCTGTATGTTAAAACATCTTCCATGTGTATGCGTGTGTCTGTGTATAAAAGAGAGAAAGAGATCATCGGAGTTGGAGTGGAACATGATACAGCTCCCTCATTTTATAAGTTTGGAAACTAAGATGCAAGAATTCTGGTGACATGACCAAATAACTAAAAAGTTGCAGAGCCAAGGATAGAACCCATTGTTTCTTCCACTCTACTACACTGTCCTGTTTTTTTTTTATGTGCTTCTATTTATATATCCTTTTTAATAAGATACAGTTCTTCCTGGTATTTATAGAATAAAATGATTCCCTATTGTTTTTCACGTTTTGCTTTTAGAAAAATGTGTTTAGGTGATATGGTGGTTAAGGCTCTGGATTCCCATATGGCCAACCCCAGTTTGAATCTTGGACTTGGTGGTTTGAAAATCATGCCAGGTGCATGTGCATGTGTGCCCCAAATCCTGAGAGAATGGAGGATAAGGGATTACAGCATAGCCACTCCCTGGGGACTGATTTCTCACATTCCTTCTCTGTCTTTCTCCAAGTGCACATTTTTATGTATTTATTCAGTCATTCCACGAATACTTACTGAGCACATACCATGTGTACCAAACATAAATCTAGGTACTGGAGATACAGCAGTGTGAACAAAACCTCTATCTTCATAACGCTTATATTCTAGTTAGAGAAACAGACAGGTAACTACAGCATGTGCTTCTGTAATTCTGCTGATAATTCTTCTATGGAGAAAGAGATGGGAAGTAATGGTTGTGGGACCAGCAGATGGCATAGCAGTTACGTTGCTGGACTCCCACATGACCAACCACGGGTCAAGTTCCAGACCCAGTGGCTTCAAACTCATGCTGGGTGCATGTGTGCCCAAAATCCCAGAAGGAGAAGGGATTGTGGCATGGCCATCCTCCCTAGGGGTGATTTCTCTTTTTCCCTCTCATTATCTCTCTTCCTCTGTCTCTCTCTACAAGTGTATGCACCCTAAGGCAAAAACCTCTTTAAAAAATAGAGTAATGGTTGTAATACCATTTCTTGATAATGTCTTGCTCCCTTTTCTCCACTTAGTGCTTAGACTCATTACTCTGTAATACTAGGTTTATATAGTTTTAATTAGTAGATCCTGTAAAGCCACTTAGATGTGAGGTGGAAAAAATAAAAGTTTAATCTTTAAACCTTTCAAATTTTTAAAATTAACATTCATTTATAAGTAAATGTATATAATACAGTCCCTTACCTATAAAAGATATGCATTAAGAACCCCACTTTGTCTCCTCTTTCTCTTCTGTGACCCCCAGATCCTGTATTAGATTTTTTGAATCTTTTCAGCAAACATGAACATGTATTCTCATTTTCACCCTTTCATTATTCCATTCCTTGTTTTTTTACTTAACACTATGTCCTTAGTTTATCATTTTACATCAGATTTTAAAATTAATTCCAGTTCCTATCCACTTGGAAAATTCTGGGTAAAAGGCCTATTATTACTAGGACAGTTACTTAATTTATCATCTAGAGAAATCCTTTGTTTGAGAGTGAAAGTGAGTGCTGTTAATAATTTACTCTGGGCAAAAAAATTAGGGGGACCAGCAGTTAGCATAATGGCTATGTCACAGGACTCCCATGTAGTCGACCACGGTTCGCATCCTGGACCCGGTGGCTTAAAACTCACGCCGGGCGTGTGCGCATGCGTGCCCAGGATCCCAAGAGGAGAATGGAGAAGAAGGGATTGCGGCGTGGCCATCCCCTCTGGGGGGTGATTTCTTGCTTTCTGTCTCTCTGTCTGTCTGACGAGCCCACGCCGCGCCCTATAGCAAAAACCTCTCAAAAAAAATTTTTTTTAAAAAAGCATAAATTGGGTCTGTCTTAGGAAAACCAAGATGCATGATCACTCTTGCTGGCACTTACCTGCTTAGAACACGTGCCCCCCAAAACTTAAAACGGCTATTGAGTAGTTAAATCACATTATAATACCTCAAATTAGTATTGACTGAAACTTCAAAAAGATTATACTCCTTCGTGTTTCACAGATATAACAGATCATTGAGGTTGAGACTGGTGTCTGGGTTCAGTATTGATAAAGAACAAAACAGTGATGAGATTCTAACTTTAGTCATTCTTTTTAAATGACAAAAACAGTATTTACTGAGGGCTCATTTTATGCCAGGCGCCGTTCTAAGTACTTATGTTTATTAGCTTTTAACCTTCACAATAAACTTACAGTTATTACTGTTATGCCCATTTTATGAATTAAGAAACTGAAGAATGGACAGATTAAGTAATCACATAGTGGCAAAACAAGGAATGGAACCCAGACAGTTCAACCAAAGAGTTTGAATGTTGCCTCATGTAAATCACTTCTACTGTCCATAGGAGATAGAAAATAGATCCTTAATTTTGTAAAGAAATTTCTGGGCTAGCCAGGTGGAGTGGTGGTTAAGATAGCTGGATCCCACAAGGCTGACTTCACAGGTCAAGCCCCAGTCCTGGCAACCTAAAAAACACAACCAGGCACATCCACATGCATGCCCCAAATCCCAAGAATGGAGAAGGGATTGTGTCATGGCCATCCCTGCAGGAGGGCGCCTCCTCACCTTCCCTCTCACTCTCTCTGAGAAAACTTTAGTAATTCTTCATCTGTCTGGTGTCTTTAGGAAATGAGTTAATGCATACAAATGAATGTTCCAGATAATAGAATTATTCTACTAAGTTTTTAAGCTATTTAATGAAAAAATATTTGAAGGTGCATTGTATGCTTAAACAGGATGCAAAAAATGATTTTTACCATTGTTTCATTATTCAAGGTCATCATTAAATAGATCCATTATTTTATATACTGTGATATAAAGCATAGTTATCTCCTGTTTAGATTTTGGTCTCCTAATCAGGCTGTTACCTGACTCTTCATATTGCTGCGATGGTACCTGTCCTCTCCTAATGGTTGTTTCATCCATATTTCTTTTACGCTTTGTTGCTTCTTTCTGCTGAGGAAGCAGGTAATAAGTCTGTTAACAATTTGTGTTTAATAAGAATACCTAAGTGGGCGAACAGGTGGCATGGTGGTTAAGTCACTGGATTCCCCATGGCCAACTCCACAGTTCAAGTCCCAAACCCAGCAATTTTAAAAACACCCCAGGTGTTTGGGCATGTGTGCCCAAAATCCCAAGAAGAAAATGGAGAAGGGATTGCAGTGTGGCCATCCCTTCTGGGGAGAGCTGTCACCCAAGAGGGATGATTTCTCATTTCCCTCTCTCTGTGTCTGTCTCTGGCAGGTGCACATGCCCTATGGCAAAAATCTAAAAAAGTTTAAAATTTAAAAAAATTAAGAGTGGGACCAGCAGTTAGTGTAATGGCTATGTCGCTGGACTCCCATGTAGTCAACTGCAGTTCGCGTCCCAGACCCAGTGGCTTAAAACTCACACCGGGTGCGTGTGTGTGCATGCCCAAGATCCCAAGAGGAGAACAGAGGAGAAGGGATTGCGGCATGGCCATCCCCCCTGGGGGGTGATTTCTCGCTTTCTATCTCTCTGTCTCTCTCTGTCTGTCTGGTGAGTGCATGCACCCTATAGCAAAAACCTCTCAAAAAAAAAATTAAGAGTACCTAAGATTTGGGTGAATACCTGAGTTCAATTCTAGTGTAGGGACCTCCCTAAGAGTGATGTTAGATTCCCAGAAGCCTTTTCCTTGGGTTCTGGCATTCTTCCAGAGGGTTAGACTCACTGAAGATCCTAAATAACAGTAAGTATGATGTAACTGCACTTGTTCTTTTACTCAGGTCAGTCATATTTCTTGGTCTACATTTCACAGAAAGCATCTGCCACATAGCCTCTATGTGAAAGTATAAAAAGTAAATGTTGAGCTAATAGTCTTTTTGCCAAAGGCCTTCCCATCTCCTTTCTGCCTCTTTGACGTGATTTTCTCTGCCTTACTCATGGGATAGGATTGGGACAATCTATCTATGTCTGATTGAGCTGGAGGTAGGCGATAGCTCTGTGAATGTAGCTTCCCCAGTGTACTAGCATACATTATCTCTAGAATGTGTTGTCTTTCATTTGTGTTTCCACTGAGCACTGATTTCTAGGATTCTCTCAGTTTTCCCAGCACTTATTTGGCTGAATTTTGCTTAATTTCATAGCATCCAGTTGTATTATATGGTGTTTGTTGATGACGTTGGAATTGTTGGAAGCAAATGTGTCTAACTTGTTACTTGATCTCTTGCTAAACCCTGCCCTCTACCATTGCTAACAGTAGAAAATGATCTTCAGTCAGGAATTGACTTTTCTCATTCATATCCATATAGAGTTGATCATTTTTCACATTGCTATTATTAGATTCAGGTTACCTATAAATCAGGAGTTCTAAACATCTTTCCTCTCTCTGCACATAGGTCCCAGTCATGCAGGGAACAGGCATGCAAGGAGCAGGCATGCAAGGAGCAGGCATGCAGGGAGGAAACCAGCCTGGCGGCTTTAGTCCTGGACAGAACCAAGTCACACCACAGGATCACGAAAAGGTGAGTGACACAGTCTGACTGCCTATTCATATGTACAAATCTTGTCTCTTTGAATCCTCTTTTCACAGTTCCCATGTGGAGATCCTGGGTCTTCCAAGTCCTTTTGGAGGTGATTACCCTAACTTAGAACTCTTTTAGGATCTTGTTCCTGAAAATGTGTGGACCTGAACCTAAAATTCTTACTTCGATATAAATGGCAGCTCATCTTACCTTTCAGACCCATAACCAGTAGCAGTTTTGCTGTATGAGCCAGATTGACCCAAAAATCCAAACCCTTTCCTTCTTCTCCTTTCTTCCTTACCCCTAAAAACAATAGCAGATTCCCCACAAGTATATAATTTTGTTTTTATATTTGGCCATTGTGGGGAGCTCATGTCTGATGAGACTTTGGAAAGACTAACACTTGTGAAAAGGAGAGACTTTCAAAATAGGATTAAAAATTGAAGGATTCCCAGGGCTCACAGATATCATCTTAGTCTGTAAAACATTGAGTTCACAGAGGTGTCTGTTTTGAATTTTCTGATCTTAAGTATTTTAATTTATGCTTGTTCTTTTTTTTTTTGTGCCTTTTCTCACCAGACTTTTTGGGGTGTTTTTGGCCTGCTATTTGTTTTTCGTGTGTGAAATATCCTTGGCAATATGGGTTATTTATTTATTTATTTATTTACTGCCATTATTAAAACTCACTACCTTTTTTTTCCCACTGCACAGGCTGCTTTGATCATGCAGGTTCTTCAGCTGACTGCAGACCAGATTGCCATGCTGCCTCCTGAGCAAAGGCAGAGTATCCTGATCTTAAAGGAACAAATACAGAAATCTACTGGAGCTCCTTGAAAGGTGAGCCAACTCATGTCAACCTGAGTAGGACTGGCTCCTTGTGTATTTTGGATATATACTGTCACCCTTAACCAACAAGATCATTCTCTCTTGTCCCTTCAGTAGGTCAGCCCTACAGGGATAAGATAAGGCTATAGTACTTTTGTGAAATTGTTGAATTGCTTATAATTTTCTGTAACGTTTCTTTCCTAGTGACAAAAGTAATGTACGATCAGCCTAACAAAGTTAATCAGATACAAAAATACAAAAAGTTAAAGGTAAAAGCCAGCAGTTGGTGTGGTAGTTAAGGTGCTAGATTGTGACGTGACCATCTACCTGGGGGTGATTTCTCACTGCTCTACTCTTTCTAAAAGCCCTGATTCTTCAGTCTATTCAATATAACCTCTAAATACAAAGGATCTTTATGGAGAATGGTTTCAAAGTTTGGTTTCAAGTTTTTTTTTTTTCCTTCTAATTTGCTAGAGGGCATTTGTACTAGCCAGTGACAGGGAAAGTGAGGAATCACACCCCATAGAGAACAGTCACACTGCAGTCTGCTCTCCTCTGTTTGTCTCTGCTTTCAGGATTCTGGGCATGCGTGCACATGTGCCCAGCGTGTCTCTCGGGCTGCTGGGTATGGGACTTGAACTCCTCAGAGCCTCATGAGATCCAGCCGCATTAACCACTATGTCACAGGCTGGCCACAGTGTTAGTTTTATTATGAGTATTTTGATGTTAAGCTGGTAGAGTATAGCCCTGGCCTGGTGGTTAAGGGAGCCAGATCTCACATGACCAACCACACTTTGAGTCCTAGCCTCAGTGGCTTGAAAAACATCTATGTGTGTGCCCAAGATTCCAGCAAGATGAAGACAGGGAGGAGAAGGGATTTTGGCATGACCACAGCCCATTGTTGGGATGCTTTCTTTCTGGTGAATTAATGTATCCTCTGGCTATTAGAAAAAAATCATATGACCTAACTTGATTGCACGTATTGGTGTTTGTTTTTTAAAATGTTTTCAGTATCATTGTACTTCATAAACAATTTTATTTTCTAAAATAAATTAAAAAAAAAAACAGTTTAAAATTCATGTCCAAGGCCAGCGGTGGCATGGTGGTTAAGGCAGCTGGTTCCCATTTGGCTAACTTTGCAGTTTGAGTCCTAGACCCAGCGGCTTTAAATATTTGTTTTTTGGGAAGTGGAGGTAGAAACTCTGAAAGTTCTTTCATTATGTATTACTGCTTATAAGATACCTGATTTAAAACCATGCACATTCATCTTAGGGCACGATTTTTGTCTGCTTTTTACCTTTCATTTGGAAATAGTAATAGGTTCACAGGAAGTTGGAAAAATAGCACTAAGAACCTGTGCACTCTTCTCTCAGCTTCTCTCAGTGATAACATCCTAAGTACAATACCTATTTGTAGTTCAAAGCCAAGAAATTGATGTTGATATATTTGTGTTAACAAGAGTATAATCCTTATTCAGATTTCACCTTTTCTTAACCCTATAATAATTTGTGCATGACATACCATGAAATTTTATGTGGGCAAGATTTTACTGTGTCTCTGCTGTTATTTGTGCATACTATGAGTAAAATGTTGGTTCTCCCTACATCCATATTATACCTAGCTCATTGAGACCCATCTCTGCCATCGCTGACAAGCTTCAATAGCATTGCTATTAAAGATCAATGGTTCTTGGGGCCAGCAGGTGGCATGGTGGTAAAGGTGCTCAACTCCCACATGGCCAATTGAGATTTGAGTCCCAGACATGGCAGCGTGCTTTCTCACTTTTCCTATCTTTCTGCTTAAACTTACGCCGGGCCCGTGTGCGTGTGTGCCCAAGATCCCGAGAGGAGAATGGAGGAGAAGGGATTGCAGTGTGGCCATTGCCCCTCGGGGGGTGATTTCTCACTTTCTGTCTCTCTGTCTCTCTCTCTGTCTTTCTAGCGAGCACACACCCTATAGCAAAAACCTCTCCGAAAAAAGAAAATAAATAAATAATTGAATAAATAACCCTTTAAAAAAGATCAGTGGTTCTCAACCAGGGGCAGTTTTTCCCCCAAAGGGATATTTGGCAATATCTGGAGATATTTTTTTATTATTATTATTAGAATTTGAAGGAGTGTGGTATGCTACTGGCATTCAGTGGGTAGATACCAGGGGTGCTGCTAAACATCCCACAATACACAAGACATTACTTCCTTGCTTTTAATTTACCTGACCATAGTCTTAACCCAGGGGATAGAATTCTGAGGACACAAATATCAATAATGCCAAAGCTGAGAAATCCTGCTACTAGGAGTGATTGCTTTGGGAAGCAGGATGCAAGACACCTTAGAAATCTTGTCTTAGTGGGACCAGCAGTTGGCGTTATGGCTATGTCACTGGACTCCCATGTAGGCAACCATGGTTTGAGTCCCGTGCCCGGTGGCTTAAATTCACGCCAGGCACATATGCATGCATGCCCAAGATCCTGAGAAGAGAAGGGATTGTGGCATGGCCATCCCCCCTGGGGAGGTGATTTCTCGCTTTCTCTCTCTCTTTCTGGTGAGCACACATGCCCTATAGCAAAAGCCTCTCCAAAAAAAAGAAATCTTGTCTTAGTGATTTGATCCTATGTATATCCTCCCAACCCTAGCCTAGGGTTGGGAGGATATATGGAGAAAAGTGTCTCCCTGATATATGGAGAAAAGTGTCTCCCTGATATATGGAGAAAAGTGTCTCCACTTCTAATGACTTTCTCCCAACTTTTTTTTTACAGGTCTGCAAAAATACCTGGCAACAAATCTGGAAATTATTTCCTTAGCTTTGTTGAAATGTCAAAAAAAGATGACTTCTGCATCCTAACCCTCAAATGACTCAAATCGGTGCCAGGTGGAGGACTCCCATCACCTTTCAGAACAAAATCAGTTCATTTTGTTGTCTTAGTTTGTATATTTTCTGTGACTTGAAATAAACTTTGAACACAATTTTAGTACACTGCAAATTAATCTACATGACCTTTTTGCTTTTAAAAATTTGAACACCAAGGGTGAAACCTTAGATGTGTTTTCTACCCTTATGCAGTATTGTACTTCAATGTTTTATTGCCATAGTTCTGTTTTTACTTTAGGTTAACAATTTATTCTTTTTGATGATATCTGAGAATTTCTCAGAAGCAATGTTTTCTGAAACTTAGTTTTTGTTCATTTTGCTTCCAACAAGAATAAGGTGGCTTTGCCCTTTGAAAACTTTCTAGTACTTCTGAGTCCTCTGTGATAAAAGAGCACGTGCTGTAAAATGGTCAGAAAGCCAACAAAGCAAAAGCCTAGCACAAATAGTGTGTTTAGTTTAGAAAAATCCAAATGTCAAAATGCATTTTCTGTCAGTAGTAGACCTGAACATGCATAGTTCAGAGTAAAGACAGATTGTGTTAGCACTAATTTGAGTGTGTTAACAACACAGGAGACTTGATATTTACTTGTCGGTTCTAAAACTCTTCATTCTAGGTAGTCAACCTTAACACTGTTAAAAAGCCACTAATTTTTTGTATGTTCAAGATGAAACAAATTAAGTGAACAAAATACATTTCATCCTATCTTTCAGGAAATCACTAATCTGCAGCCCTACCTGATAAGGCAAATTTATTCTGAAAACTTAAAACATATGAAAACTAGACTTTTACATTCTTCTTAGTTACTTTAAGAGGACCAAATATAGAGCACAAGCAGTCAGATTGCCCACTAGGTCTGCCCCTGCTTGCTTCCTTACAGATAGGTATGAACATAATTAGTGCCACTCGCTCTAACCTATAGGCCTTCCTGCCTAGCTCTCTCATAGTGGCATTAAGGAGGAACATGGTTTCTCTCCGTCAGGCCAACCTCAAGAGGTTAAGAGTTGCCTTAATAATTAGTAAAGTTCTACTGGAACTACTATTGAGCCTATTTATATTCTCAGAATCCTACCCCCTTGGGTTAGGATTATGGTCAGGTGAATTAAAAGCCTGGCATGGGCTTAGAGAATGTAATAGCATATTGCTTACATGTCAAGCAAAAGAATGCAAAGATAATCGACTTCATGAGAGACATTGAAATTGAGGGATTTTCTACTCATAAACATTTACAATTAAGTTTGCTAGATAAGATATTTTCTATTACAACCTAGCAAAAACTTGCTCAAAACAGCTGAGGAGCTTTCTGGGTATCCTGCTCATCCCCGATTCAGCTTGGATATTGATTATGCATATGTTTTATTATTTTCAACTTTTTGCCTACTTCCATGAATATTAAGGCCTTGATATGTTGATTTTGGCAGCTGCCATAACTTGAAATGTTGATATATTTAGACATTGAGATTAAGAATAAAGCCTTTCTCATCAGGAGTAAGTTCCAAGGAGCACTAAGATTGCATATTAAAGCCTTTCAAGATGAAGTTATTGTTTGAGTCAGCAGTTGTCTAATAGGACAACTTCAAGGTTCTATTGTGCATTTTCCCAAAGCCTTATCAAGTAAATTAGATAGCTGAAATCCAGGTGAACAAATTGGCAATAGTGGTGGTATACCAATCTGTCCCTACAGAAACATATATTGGACCTCTTTTTATTATTATGGTGTAATAAACAACTACCATGAGTTCATGAGCTACCTTAATTATGTACAGAACAGTGACTGAAAAAAATATTCTAATCCTTCAAGCCATAGAGATTCCTGAATGATCAGAAACAACCATTTGTTCATTCTTAGTCACTTAATGATAGAAAAATAGGTTCTATAATGCTAATTCAGCAGAAACAGTCTTAGAAATTTATAAGTGGAATTGTCTTTGGGCACAATGAAATGTAGGGTTATTTTCCCTTGTTAAAGAGCCTGGGGCTTACTCCCTCCTAGTGACTCACTGGAGACTACACAAAACTGGTGAGTCCCTGCAGGGTAAGGTTGGGTAGATGATAGAAATGAAAAGCACTTTGATAAAAAAAGAAGGAACAGAAATTAGGGTGAGCAATTCCTTCATAAATAGATAGGAGACAAAAGAAATCTCAAAATTGTGCATTTATTACTTTTTAAACTAGACATTAATAAACTCCCTTAATAACAGCAGTAAAAAGACCCTGTTGATTAAAGTCAGCCTAAAATAGGTTTCAGGTTTTTGCAAGTATTTCCAGCAGAACAAGACAATATAGCTGACTTCAATTACAATACAATTCCATTTATAATTAACATACTTTCGAAATTTTCTTTCCCAAATGGGGAGCCCAGAAAAGGTAATGAAAGATTAATTTGTTAAAGAAAATCCTTCATTTTTTTGACAAGCAAAAATAAGCATAAATTGCTGTTCACACTGGATAAGATGGTGTTTAAATAGTAACAATGTACATAGTTGGTGTTATATGGGGATGGGTTTCTTGATAATTTTATTTTCACTGTTTATTATTTATGTTTATTATGTTTTATCATTATTCAATAAATTTATATTTAAAAAGTCACCTTATCTAGCAATCTTCTGTGAGGATGGGAGGGAGGGAAGATTATGAAACAAAATCCAGGACACGGTAATACTTGGAATCAGCAAAATCACCTGCGGTTAAACTGTCAGCTACCAAAGCGCTGCTGTCATACCTTGCTGCAGTTATGACCTTTTAAACAGATTTATGGTTACTTTCCTAAGAAAGGATCTGTGAGCTTTGCAACTTTAATGATTTCTGAAGGTCTGAAGCTGGTGATGTTCAAGTATAACAAAGTCGAATGCAATCCAAAAAGATGCCAAGGAGTCAGGGCTTGACGGGCACATTATCCTAAAGTGCCTGCCCAAACCTGGTCAGATCAAATAAGTTAATGGAGATTGTGGGAAGCTGCACACCAGCGAGTCTGCCAAGGTTTCTCAGAGAGCAAACAATTACCATGATTGGTTCCCTTCCAAAAACCTGACCTTCGAAACCTTGCTCTGATTGGCCACTAGAATCCCTCAAATTTGCATACCCGGCACCTCATGATTGGTCCAAAAGCAACCAATCATAACCCATCGTTAACAACCAATCAGGGCCCACCGTTTACAACCAATCACAGTCCACCGTTTACAACCAATCACGGCCCACCGTTTACAACCCACCAGAGTGTATATAACCACGATGCCTGGCCCACAGTAGCCAGACGACACAGCCAAC